TTCCTTTCCTTTCCTTTCCTTTCCTTTCTTCTTTCTTTCTTTCTTTCTTTCTTTCTTTCTTTCTTTCTTTCTTTCTTTCTTTCTTTCTTTCTTTCTAGGCTGGTGTTATTGAATCCAGAGAATACTGAATTGTGTCCTCAGGGTCTTGCTAAGTTATTAAATTGCACACGTTAGCCTTGATCTTACGATTTTCTTGCCTCAGCTTCCCAAGGAGCTGGGATCACAGGCATGAGCCTACATGCCTGGCTCAATGAAGTTGAGTATTTTAAATAACAATTTCATAGTTCTCTGTAAGAAATATTTAACATTATCTTCGCTTTGTTTTTAAACTTAGAGTTGTCTTAATTCAGTTTAGAATCATTCCCTGTTGTGTGTGAACTAATTTATTTATCTGTACCTTACACAACAGATCTGGATTTCCCAAAGAACATGACTTGGAATACCAAGTCTATGAAAATTCCATTTGGCCAAAGAAATTGGCTGTGTGTCTTTATTAGAGTCTTTAGTATTCTAGTTTCTATTTTGCACTTCCAAGAAAGGAATGAAGAATACAGTGTTTCCCAAACTTACTGACAAGAGAATCATTTGCAGCTAAGCAGCATATAGAACTGTTATTTTTTGGAACACTCTTTGGGGGTTAAGTGCCCAGAGTACAATTCAATGTAAATATGTTCCTCCTTTATTGGGAAGCCCTATCTTAAGCTTTACTTAACCCTCTCTTCACATTGTGTGTACATACCTGTGGGGAAAAGCATGCACATGACAGGAGTTGAGTGGAAACTATAGCAATAATTGGATGGGTTAGGCAGTCATATATCAATCCAGTATTAACAGGTAAATATGTAAACCTCAGAAAAACTTATTTTAAAATCCCCCATTTTCATGTTCAGTTTTAGCTTTTTTTCTCAGATAAAGATCAGACACAAGGTGGTTTCTGAGCTGCAAGGAACCATCTAATTGTTTTATTACACTTGCTTCCATACAGAATTCCATTGGCAAGGGAATGACAGAGGGACAGAAGAGAGAGGAGCCCAGCCCAGGTAAGTAGGCCAGGGTAACTGAACTGCAGGTCCTCCAGTCAGAGTGGAATGTTGGTGATCCAGCCTTGGTTAAAGTCTTCCTAGAGATTGGAGAATGAAAACCCCTCTTGGGTTTCCTTCTCCAGCTGCCTACATACATGTTTACATCTCCTAATGAGCCACTCATTAGGAAAACATTACCGTCTTGCAAACACTTGTCCTCATTTCTAGCCAGAGCCAATGTTTCTGAAGGGCCTCTTGTTGGAGCTATACAGTAATTGGGAACACTTTTTGCTAATGCTGAGCATGATTTAGACCTAGTCCAAACACAGCTAGCATAGTCTCTCCTACTTTCAACCATGGATTTCTTACCCACCTGGCCTAGCAGTGCTCTGAATCTAGAGAGTACAGTATATTTGAAGATCTGAAGGAAGCATGGAAAATGAAAACTCTATGGAGGTTTTAATTCTCCAAATAAAATGAAGTGCCTCTTCCACGAATCATTACCCAGATCAGAAATCTGACCCCATCCCATCTGAACAGCCCAAGCAGTACAGTAACTTTTAAAAATATCTCAGAGAAAGGCCAGCCACATAGCTCAGTGGATTAAAGTGCCTACAAGCAGGTGCAGGGGCTGGGGGTTCGATTCCCAGGCCTGCTGTGCTGGCCTCACCCCTGGGGAGCACTGACATGGCAGTTGAGACTAGGTGTGGTGGCATGCGCCTGTAATCCCAGCTCTTGGGAGGCTGTAAACAGGTGGATCACTATGAATCTGATCTAGTAGTGAGACCCTGAACACTCTGTAGACCCTTCCATAAAAAAAAAAAAAAAAATCTCAGAGATTCTCTGGGCTCAGTGAGCCCAAATCCACAGGAGGTATGCTCTACTTTTGCCTAAACAGGGAAGGAAGGAAGTTTAAAATTTAGGGAGGTTGAATTCCAGTGTCCAGTCTTAATGCATGGCTGCAAGACAGAAATAGCAGATGGCAGGAAGACTGGAGCAAGAGCCAGAAACAGGTCAGAGTCATGACTCTCTTTTCCTTGCACTGTGGCCTTGGGCAAGTCGCTTAGGTCCAGCTAAAACTGACACACTGAGGCCAAACGAGGTATTTAATGTGAAATTGCTTTGTGCCCTATATCATGAATAGATCTAATGGCTTGTTGTTGTTGTTATAGTTGTTTGAACTCCCTAAGGGATGCTCAAAGAATTTTTCTTGGGGATGAAAAGTTGAGGGTGAATATTCCCCAAAGTCCCAGAACCACAGAGTCCTGTGAAGGGATGGCAGCTGCTGTTTTTCCTGTGCTTCTTTTCAAACTGTTTCTATGGAGAGAGGGAGAGAGAAAAAGAAAAAGAAGGGAGGGAAGGCTTTGCTGAAGGGTTAAAGCAAGATAGTGCTGTAAAGTGATTCCAGATGTACAAATATTAATATCTCTCTCCCCCTGATGAATGAGAAGGTATGACCCAGCTAGGAAACTGCTAAAATTACCGGCGCCACAGAGACCTCAGCAATGGCCCAGCGCAGATTCTTATCCTTACCCCGGCAACTGTAATGCTGATGAAGGGCTCGGACCTGCTGTAGCAGACTCTCCAGGACTTCATTCTGTCCCTTGTGTCTGGGCTCTCTGTCGTCATAGTCTTTCCAGTCTATTGAACAAAAGAAACAAATAGAGGAAATTTTAAAGCAGAGGAGGCCTCTCTGCTGCTCTGCATCAGGAGTTGGGGTTTTGCTCCCACTACCCGCAGGCTCAGTGGATGAGCACCCAACACATGCGGAGCTGGCAGGCGGTGCCAAATATTTGCAAGCTGCCATTGTTCAGAGTCTTGTACAAAACAGTAATTGTGGTTGATTTCTTGTGTTGGGCAGTTTTAGGGCAAGAGAAAATAGTAATTGAAAGCCAAATGAAAATAGAAAATTTAGGAGTCCTATGTTACCTCTCCTAGGTCTGTTCCCCTTGTCAGCATCCCATCTCCTGATCAGTCCCCTGGTCACCTTTCCACTCAGCACCCCAAGTCTCAATTGGATTTCTACAGGAGGAATGAAAAGGGTGGGAATGTGCAGACTAGATGAAATCCACAGTCCCAATGCTTTTATTGTAGGTTTCACACTTTTGGCCAAATTGACATTTCTTTCCAAGGAAAGAGCCTATGTCAGATGCCAAGAAATGGAAATCTACATTTTGCTCTAATGAATGTCTGCTTTGGTTAGCTGGCACAGCAGCTCCTGCACATACTCTGAGCCACCAACCACCCTGTCTGCTCAGTCTCTAAATATACAGTATTAGCTTACATGGCAAATTTAAATTGCAATACCCACTGAGATTTTTTTCTCTCCCTTCTATTTTCATTCCATTTGGCTATAATGATATCAAGAGTAATAACTCAAACGGGACTAATGTCGAGATTGCAATTCTGCTGTCTCCAACTCCTTGAGTTTTTTTCGGCAGGTCAGTCATTTCACCGTTCACCTTTTCTCTCCTCTATTTTCTCTCCTCTGCTTTCCTTTCTGAACCTTTCCAAAGCAAAGACTTAAAGTGCTTCTTAGTTGAAATGTGTTCTCTAAAGCATGAGTCAGTCTTCTCCAGAAAATCCAGTTAGTTCACAAGTGTATCTTGGACTTAGGTTTTAGCTAAACAAGTTTTAAGTTCCCTTTCCAACAGGTTTATTTTAAAATATGGAGTCTTCTTCAATTAAAAAAAAAAACAACTTAAACGTATGTCATACCAGGTAAGAGCATTTCATTTTGGTCCATGCAAAGCCCAGGAGTGAAATGCATTTAAGAATACAGATTCTGGAGTAAGAGACATCTAGGCATGAATCCTGGCTCTTCTCAGTTCTAGCTCGTTGTCTGTTTGCATGGTCAGGGCCTCTATTCCCTAGTTTGAAAAAGTATCCACTTGTGAGATTTTTATGAGGATTAAATAAGAGGTATACTAGGTATCTGGCCCAATGCCTTTTGCATGACAGGCATTCTGTAAATAGTAACTTAGAGTGAAGCCAGTTCATTATGAAAACATAATTTTTTATTCTGTCAACAGGTTACCTATGAAGATAGGGCCCTCAGAGATTTTCTAATTATCTTTACTTCTCATTCTTTGCTATGCATAGTTCTTTATTTCATCTTTTGCGAAACTGAGGCCCAGAGACAACCATTCTACTCCTGTCTTGGTTGTTGGTGGCATAGCTGGGGCTGTAACATTGTCTAGTGACCATTGAGAGTGCTTATGTCCTTTCATTATACCAGGGACTTTTTTTTTTCCTTTTGGGAAGGAAGGTCGGAAGCCTGGGTGGAGTTTGAGTGGCAGGGCTTAGCTGTGGTCAGCTTGGAGACAGGCAATTGGCAGAGGTGCCTTTTGTAGACTATTTGTTCCTTGTGGGCAAGAACCATGACTTAATCTCTCTCTATTTCATTTTTCTTCTCTGTAACAGAGTGATTTAAAGTTTCTTTTTAGGTTATTTGAGATTTAAAAGAAATAATGTAAGTAAAGAGCCATGCTGGAGCTTAGGCAGCTCTTACTATATTGTGGTGAGGCATCAGGAGTGGAAGTATTATAGTGTCCAGTAGGCTGGACTGGCAAAAGATTTTTACTGCAAAATGTGGAGAAGTTTGAGGAAATAACTCCCAGTGGCTCTTAGACTAGTTGTTGCCCCCCCTCATCTTTGGGGACAGTGATAATAAAAATAGCCTTCTTGGGCTCCCCAAGGCCATATTAGTTTGTTCTCCTGGATGTCTGCATCTGAAGTGTGTATAAGATGAGAAATACCAGGAGCTTTAGTAAGACTCCTGGGTGACTGAATTACTGCATGCCATGGACATGCCAGTGCCTTCTAGCGAAAGTTAGTGCTGGCATCAGTGCAAGGGGAGATGAAACAGGATTGGTTTTTTTAGCAGAGGCCTATACATCAAGGGGCATGCTAGATCTGATGACTTTATGATACATCAGAAAATTGCCAATGCTAAATTGCAGCCCAAGCGAACATTAGACATGATGCCAAGGGTTTTGGAAAGAATGACTTTTTCTGGTAGATGTTTGGAAGGTTCTGATGACTATATAAAAACAGGAGACTTTAGGGATGAGGGAGAAAATTGAAAATATATTAAGAAATCAGGAACCTGACAGGGGTAAACTTAGCATGGTAGGAAAATAGCATATTGTGCCACATAATACGGTTCACTGTTCTGGTAATGAGACACTTCAGTTGCAACACTATGCAGAGCTTACATTCACTGGCCGTATCAGGGTTTTCCTGATCGTAACTCAGACAAGCCTGTCTGGGTGCTTTTCTCTTATTATGTACCATACCATATAACATAAGTCTATAAAAACACATTAAGGCCTTTTGTAAAAATATAAAAAAAAGTTTTATGGCTTGCTGGAACATATTACCAAATTTCCAATTACTCTGTCATGTTAGAATACATTGTCCTCTAGTAAATATCTGAATACTGATATGTGTTACATCACAATGTCATACTCTGTTTATAAATAGAATGGAAGCATTTTTATATTGTTCTTTCCAAGTGATATGGCATGTCTGCACCAAGTATAACCATATGTTAGGATTTCATTTCTTTGTCAGTTACACCTACTAATCAGATACGCTGCTCCTTAAAGTGTTGCTATTTAATGCTAATTATCAATGTATAAATGATTTTTCCAGGTCCTGAACAACTGTTATTATAATTCTGAAGAGACCTTCATAAATAGCTATGAGATATCTGAATAAAATTTTCAGTTTAGAGAACCCAAAAACCTGTCTTTATAAGTAAATGCATCCATATTCCAGTCAGTAATTGCATGGGGTATGGATTTTAAGTATGTTCCCTCCTACTTCACTTTCAGGTCAACTGAGACTAAAACTTGGATGTTTTTCTCTATACTTTCTGTCTCTTCATCTCTAGTAATGCATACTTTCTTCTCTCCCAGTGTGATTGGCCCCCTTAACATCTTATGCTTGCAATTCATTTGTGTTTCTGATAAATCTGTAGTAATAAAGATTCCAAATAAGGCTGGGCTCATTCAATTATCAAATGCAAGGGGAGCTAAGGGCCTTGGAGAGCTCTGACATTTGTGGTCCAAGGCCATGTCTGATCTAGGAGAGCTATCTGAATCCACCAGGAGTAATAGTCAGTGCAGTTGGCAGACTCTTAGCCTCTTTGTCTGCCTGTAGGAGGGCTCTTTTAGTTCTCACAGCACAGGACAGACACAGGCAGGCCCTTGACAAATTCAGATTTAGCTTCTGACTCAACCATACACCATTGATGTAACCTTGTATAATGACTTCTGTGAAGCCCAGTGCACAGATTGGGCTCTGTGAATGTACTTCTATGTTAATAGTTCCCACATCAAGAAAACGGATAAGTCCATATAGAGTACTTAGACTTAGGCTTTGCATGAAGTGAGTCTTAACCCATAGCAGTGACACTTATCCACAAGAAAGGGAGGAGGATGAAAGATTGCAGTGAGGACTAAGAGTTAGTGCCTGTGAAAGCCTGTAACACATTGCCTGACTCGTAGTTGATATTGGGTATTATTATAAACCTTAAAACTATATAAATCAATGAAATAGAACATTAAAAGAGCCTATAATTTCATGACCCAAATGTGCCTTGTAAAATTTTGACAGTTATCGAGACATATAGGCATGCCCTTCCTAGTTATAGGTGAACCAATACTTACATGGACAACCCCCACCAAATGTACTTTTTTATATAATATTTATACTATGGAAATCTTTCAAAACAACGAATGGGGTTTTCAAATGTCATTGTTAGTGGTTGTGTTCAGTTCTATGATATATATGAATATTTTAATCATACTTTAAGTTAATATTAGATAGTTCTCCCATGATGTGTGAGAGGTAGGTCACTGTTATCAATTTACTGTCACAGTGCACATCTTTATACATGATTGCTCATTGCATCTCTCTTTTCCTTAGGTTAGATTTCTAGGTGTATAATTATGGAGTAAAAGGAAAGAGATTTTCTTACGGCAATTGCCACAACACGACAGATTGTGTTCCAAAAGGACGAGTAGTATTTGCTCTCACAAGAAGCATGTAGTACTTTTTTTTTGCTTTCATACTAGTAACTTTTTAAAAAATTGAAAACATCATCCAGAGCAGTAGACTCACAACAAAGACAAATCTATCTATTATTTGTCTGGAAACATTTGCTCAAGCTTCTTACATTTTCAGGTTAATAGTTACCAAACATGCCAGGAATGAATTATTAATCTTCAAATAATTTTCCAGCCAGCACTATAAATGTTATAGATTATATTTGTTGTAGAGTGCCTATTAATAAAAAAGCTTTTCTTATGGCATAATGTCAGATCAGAAAATTTGTTAGATTTTGTTCTGGGAAATGATACCATGTATCTACCGAGGGAAGGGAAAGGAAGATGACAGCTAACACGAACTGAACTGAACTCAGGGCCAGCCCCTGGTGGGTGTCACCACTTCATCCTCACCTAAGCCCAGGGAAAGAACAGGACTAGATATATTCTGATGACGTTGACTCAGTGCTCTGTGAGTGTAAGTAACTTTTGAAGTAACTTTGATAAAAAGGTCTAAAGGCTGTCAAGTTGAGTCCTTTTTGTCTTCGAATCCCTTTCCTTGGACTCCACTGAGCTGCCTTCCTGTGACTGTTTTTACAAAGAAGTCACACCTTTTGTGGCCCAAATACTGCTGCCCTGGGGTTGTAAGCAGTGGGAGAAGGGCATGGCTGCGGCGCTTGCAGCTGGGGTCTTTTGAGCTGCTGGAGGGCAGCCGCCACCTACTAGAAGGAGAGGCACATGGGGGTGTCGTGGTCTGAGCAGGTCCCCATCCTTTCATGTTGTAAGCTGAGACTTGAACGAAATACTGTTGTCCCTGCAAAGAATTGAAAAGAGGATGCATCAGACATTTGAATTAATGAGCTTTATCGTAGAAAGAGATCTCTGTTAACTTTCTTATGCCTTTGTAACTAATGCTTTTGGTTTTCTCTTTTTTATAGTAACCACATTTAAAATGTCTTAGTTTCTATGTACTTTCTTGCTTTCAAAATTGAGACCCATAATTATTTTTTTCTTATTTCTCCTCTCAAAAATAAACTATCAGTTTTAAAAAGGCATACACTACTATAGAACTTACCAAAACACAGTGATGCTCCCCACTCTTACCCTTTTCTCATTTTCTGATTCCCAGAGGGAGCAACCATCACCTTCTTTTACTGATCAACTTACTTTAAAAATTAACACATTATAATAAATATCTTTTCAAATTAGTGCATTAAAAACCTGCCTCATTCTTTTACTGGCTGCATAGTACTTCACTGTAGCAAATGTCATTTAGTTAATTTTTCATTGGTGGACATTCGATTGTTTCCATTTTGTATCACAATAAATAATGCTGCAATAAATGTATGCTACTTAGATGTTAAAGTATTTTTTAAAATTCAATGGTTTGATATAACATTAGTTTTATAAGTATTATGGCTTATATTTTTATTTTTTATGGTATTAAACATGAAGGAGCTGTTCTTGCTTGCTGAAAATTCATTTATGTGTTTTGTATGATTTTATTTTTTGCTTCGACAATTTTTCTTTTTCCTAATGAATGCAAAGGGGCTTTGAAGAAGCCAGTGTTTGAAGAAACATTGCTTGCAAAATTTGCAAAATGGTGTTTGAAGTTGAAAAAAAGTGAACCTTTGTAAAGCCTTCGCTAGGGATTTAACAATATTGGCCTTAACACTATTATGAAGTCAGTTTTTTTCTAACATTGAAAAGGGTTTCTATGCACCTCAAGGCTATAGGGATTATGTAGAAGTGTAAATCTACTTCCAGGCTTTTATATGATTAGTGTAGTGTCTGCACTGCTCTTATTGGATGGCCAAGTGGAAAAACTTAATCCCTATAGAAATTAGTTCAGATATTAATGAAACCCTCTTCGGAGAGTTTTCCAGTTTTATCACCATATCCTTTTTTCTTTTAAGCAGTGGAAATTCCCTAGGGCTCCTCTCGGCTCTGTTCCGTCCCATAGGCCATCGGGCTGGGCTCAGTCTTCTGCTGATAGCGTCTCCAGGGCCACCCACTCAGGGCTTTGTTTGCTCTGGTAGCCCGCAGTTCTGGCCTCTGGGGTAGACAGTGCAATTCGGACTCAAAGTCAGGATTCTTGGTTGGGACCCAAACACCAAGAATTCTACTAGCATAAGCTGGTTCACACTTGGAAAGAGGCGACTTAATGCCACTTTTCAGTGCTGGGTTTCAAGATTGTGTTTTACAGATAACTTGTTTAATTCACTAACCCTTCAGAAGATAACAACCACAAAGTGTTCCCTCTGCTTTCCCCATATGAAGGTTTTAAAACATTATTTGGATAACAAATTCATTTAAAGTTCTCTTTTGAAATATTTTGATTTATAAAGGATTTTTTATCTTTTGCATTGTAATTGCGGACATTCAGGTTTTGTTCCAGTTTGAAGTAATTTACTAGGTGTTTTTATTTTTTTGCATTTCATCTGTTTATATGGCTCATAGTTCCACAAATAATTGCTGTTTGGGTTAAGATTAGTTAAATAAATAACTATGGTTTGTTTCAGTTTTTCATTCACAGTTTAAATTGTTTTAGTTTCCTGAGAAATGTTGCTCCACATTGTCTAGTTCCTTTTTTTGTGGAAGCAGATTTAGCAGATCTTTTTTCCCCCCTTTTTAATCATGGGAAAAGGATTTCTCTCAGGAAATTGTGTGACTCCAATTGATGACTGATCTCAACTGAGGCAGTCGGGTGAAGGCAAGATGAGCCTGTTATTTTTACCATCAGACAGAGTCAAAATTGGATCTCTCCGAGCCTTTGATCCCCCTGAAGATTAGACTGTGATCCAGAAAGCTGCAGCTTTCAAGGCTTGTATGAGGCCAGTCTTTTTCTGATCTCCTTAGAACATTGCAGCTTACAAAGTGGTTCATGCTGTCTACTTGCTGCTTTGAGAAATTCAGATTATGGATACCAGACATATCATGCTTAATGAGTGGCAGTTGTTGGTAGAGGCCCGGGTGTTGGCTGTTGCTCCCCTAGTAGGCATTTGCTGTCAACATCTCCACACATACATCAGTGACAGGAGATAGCGGTACACTGGGAGGACACTTACAGTTGTAAGTCCTGTGATTGTGCATCTCAGGGTGTGCAGGTTATCCATGATGATTTCTCCAGCCAAAGGAGAAAAGTCTTTTGATTTGCTCCATTCCACTAGAAGGGTGGGGCCAAGGGGAAAAGAGAATAAAATTCAGGCATATGTCAAGAAGCACCATAGAAACTCTAGCATCTTCTCAGAAATGTTCATGAGCTTCTTATACCAGCTCATTTAATAATCCTGCTTGGGATGTGAAGTCAGTTTCTAAATTCACCATTATTTTTCAAAAGAGGAGCAATTCAGTAGTCATTAATACATCTTAGGAGTTTATTGAACCTTCATAGATATATTACGGCACATGTACATCTTTGATGTTCTTAATGTGAGATACAATTTATATTAAATGTAATCGCATTGCTTCATAGTAGGGACATTTATGAGAACTTGCATCATTGGGCGGTTTTATTCCTTTGCGAACATAACAAGAGTGTACTTACACAAGTTAAGCAAGCTATAATGTCACTTAACTAGGTAATGTGTATTCATTCCAGCCTTGACAGAAATGTCCTTTTAAGGCATATGATGATGCTACAGTACTTACACACCTGGCTGTTCCTATACAAACATACATTATTTGTGTGTGTGTGTGCACACTTAGGAATGGTTAGACTCATTCTAAAGTATGTATAATAACAGTTCACTGTATGTGTATGGGAGAAAAATCATGCAAGGTACCTGGAAACTTAAGGGTACCTTAGAACTACCTTCTGTTCACTCTCCAGGTCTGGCTTCTATTTCATTGTTTGATTGATGCTTCTCTTTCATGATTCCAGTGACACACGCTCACCCCACATAAAGAAAGACTGTGCATCATCTGACACCCCTTTCTTCTGCAAGCATTCTTCCTTTCATGTCTCATATACTAAGTCTTTCTTATGTTCGCTTCTCCTCCCTGAAATCTTCTAAGCTTAATCATTGGCTGGTTTTTTTTTAGCCTTAGGATGTAGGCTTTGTGGCTGTCCTATACAAGGCTCCCCTGTCCTGACAGTCCCAAGGTGGATGCTCATTCCTAGTTAAGTCATCCAAGTTCTAATGCTCTGTTTTACTGTGGGACCATTTTTTTTTTTTGTAACATTTTCCATTGGTTGTCAAAGTATGGATAGGCAAGGTGTATGGTATATCTTGGGTAAAGCATGTCTGAACTAACTGCTTACACACTGCAAGATTTAAGCCAAATTGTAACAAAGTAGGAGCTTAAGGAGCTGAAATCACACAGAAAACCAGGCCTCTGTTTTCTAAACTTGAAAACAAACTAGAGGTTGGAAGATTTAAGGGACATCCTCTATAACACAATCCTACTGAAAAACTGATCCAAAGCATTTCCAAGTCCTGCTGATCCTTGAGTCCTTCATCTCCATGCTTTGCAGCTTGCTGTCCCTAATTCCTCTGCTTCTCCGTGGGTCCCTGGGGATGTGGCTTGCTTTCCTGACTCTCTTGAACTTTCTCTTGCTAGTGACTCAGCACCAGCCTCTTTTTCGGACATCCTGCCACTTTGGGCCTTTCTGGTTTTTGCAGCTTTCACTTCTGTCTTGGTTGACTCTCTTCTGCTTTTCCTGTCTTTTGGCTACCTCTTTCTAGGCTCTTTCTGATTTCTCTTCTCCTTTCCCTTTGATGTGATGTTCACTGGGGAGGTTGTTTTCTGGCTCTTTTATTTAACTCTATGCACTTAGTACCTTGTGTTGAGTTTATCTTTTATGGCTTCAACTATGAGTCTTACAGCTAGCTGTAGCCTCTGTTTTGAAGTCTGCTACCTCCTGTAAATCTCTAACCGAGTGTTTCTCACTCTTTTTTTTTTTTTTTTTTTTTTTTT